TCCACTTTGTTTCGGCTTTTATCGAAAAGGAAATTATAGTTTGCTATGAAATTAGTATCGAAATTTTAGTTACACCTAGGAATCTTTCTACAAGATCCACTTTTACAACGATCTTTTAGCACGTATTATTAACTTTTACACGATTTGTTTAACACGTCTTGGTTAAAGTTATGCGACTCTTTTTTTACCACGTTTTATTCATATTTGCACAGTTTTCTTAGCACGTTTTACTTACCTTTAAACGATATTTTTCACACGTTTCATTTATTTTTATCCTCGGACCGAAGAAACCGACGAACCTTCCAAGAACCGCTTCATCAAGACACAAATTCTACTTTGTTATCGCTGTTACAAACAACCGACTGTTTTAGAGTCACGGTAAGAGCACACAGCATCTGAAGGATGCTGTTCATTTGTTTAACGATCGTCAGATCGTACAACTGAGATCTTGAGCGAACAAAGAATCACTTGATTCGATGCAAAGAGAATCGAGATTATATCGTTTTACATTTCTTCATTCTGTTTAAAGAAACAACGAAAGGTGTTGTTCGTTCGTCCAATAAGCCGCAGATTGAACATTCACCAACAGTCAGAACTTGATCGAGTAAAGAGAATTTAATTTGGCTCGAGCAGAATTGAAATTTTATCGTTTCAAATTTCCTCAATTTGTACAAGAACACAACTGTTAAGGTATAGAAAGGATTCGGAAATACACATAGTTTACTTTATTTCACACACAACAGCTATACATATATATTACACTCTGAAGATCTCGATAACCTTCTTGCACGCACGCTTGTTGTCCTTCTAGAAGCTTCTAACATCTGGCAACAGTCTTTTGTCTCAACTAAGATCTGGACGCCCCCTAACGCTTACACACACATTCACATGTACAGTGTAAATGTATCATCTACCCAACAACAACGAAATACACGTCGTCGCAACTGGTACAGAACGATTGGGCGGCACATATTTTGAGTGACGAAAATCATTTTTTTCTACTAATGGGCAAACATATTCGTTGCAATGCCAATGGACATCGACGACGAGTAAAATGCGGATTTTTCAGAAAATGATATTTTTTCATTTTCCTTTAACGAATGAAACGCAAGTTTTATGCTTTTTCACAAATCAATTGTTTCAATTGTGTAAAAGCAATGTCGGGTGTATGTGCGTGAAGTTGGTCAGTGTAAATTTGTCTGGCGATCGAAGATGCGAAATTATTTGTTTGTTATAAAAGCGGAGCAATTCCATTTATCCTATTGGTTGACCAGCGAAGTTTTGTCGTTTTTTCAATGGCGTGGAAGGTTGTTCATTTGTTTTACGGAACTTACGCGTGTCATCCAGAGATCAACGATTGTACAAATTGTTTTATTAACGCTTTACTGACCGATAGCCTATTAATCGGCTTTCTATTGCCGACGCTTGTCGACCGATAGCCTATTAATCGACTTTTTGTCACCAACAATCTTCCTCGTTATTTGAGCAGTAATTTGTTATTTAGTGCTAAGGTACCTTGTTCAATTGCGTCAGTTGCGTTGCTTTGTAAGCTCCCACAGTTTTATACCAATTTGAAAAATTTATCGTTCGCGATGGACGAAAAGAATGGCATTGGAGAATCTAAACAGAGCCGGCGCGAGGGAGAATCTGCGCCTGAGATGCCGGTCGGACGTGCGTATGCTGTTGAATCGCTATTGGTCGGTAAAGTGTTAATATTTTCATTGGTATTTTTACGAAATATTTGCGTTGCTGTCGAAGGTATCGTTTCTCAGGAGCGAAAATTCTACTTTTATCGTTAGTAATTATTAGTCAATTGCTTCGACCAGCAAAAGTGAAATTGTTTATCGGCGGATAACTTCCGATTAACGTCAGTGATATAAATTATTAATAAATAGACAGATAATGATTCTATATTTCCAATTAGTTCTGAGATTGCCGCCATTTTATAAATAAGTGGGTAAAAATAGATAAAAGAAGAATCTCAGAATCGGAAGACGATAACGATTTTTAGATAAAGAAAACAGACGTTTATATAAAGCGGAAAGGAAGAGAACTATATGCTGAAATTCGTCATTATCCGATGAGTATTTTAAAGTGACACTAAATTGAGCTCTACGATACGGAATAACAACAAGCAGAATATCTGAAAAATAAGGAAACTGTCGTTTACAATTTTCGTAATTGATCAAAATGCTTTTTGCTTCCTTGTTGTATTACGAAAATTGCTTGATAAATTTTGAAAGTCTATAAAACACAAGTCTGCAAAACTTCTAACGTTTGTTAAAGACACGTGGTAAGTTGCAGAAAATAAGGAAACTATTAGGTTGGCAACTATGTCAGTACCATCTAATGATAAAATCCGCAATCACTTAGTTGCCAACCCAACAAATACAATTACTTGTCTTTTCTCAGTTTTGACATTAACATTACCAAATAGCCGGTTTCAATGTTTAATGTTAAATCGTACATTTAGTGTTATTTTTTTTATTCGTCTAATTTTATGTAAGTTCTTATGTTATCCGATTAATCGATTTCTCAATATTTATTAATATATGAGATTACTATTTATCGCGTCACATTGATAAAGCAAAGCAATAGCTCATTCAGCTTCGGTAAACAGATCGTAGGACACTTCCACGCTTTGGTATGGTAAACGATACAAAATTATTTCCATTCTAAGTAAATAGAAGCACAGAAAATATATTATATTGTTCCTCTTCTATTATACAATTCCATTATTACTGTTCGTTATATTATTCCTCTTGTTATCGTCAGAAAATAGGAATTTTAAAATAAAATTATAAAATCAGCCATGGAAGTTTAAAAAAAAAAATAAAAAATACAAAGAATCGAATAGAACCGAGTAAAATTGCCTTTCTACCGTACGTGCTCCTCTGTACGCGACTAATTTACCTACAACGACGACAACCTTACCGCTCGTTTATCGATTCTTCGACAGATGAATCATTTCTGTTGCACCGCGTCTGCTGCCCCCGGTTCCTATTTATTCCTCCACCGACGACCCGTCGTGGGCGGTTGGTAGGTGGAAAAAAGAAATGATCCGCAGTCTGTCGCCGGCTCACCGACCACCATCGTCGTGTATGGTAGCTTGGCTCGCCAGGCGAACACGTACAGCGAAACTGAAACACCACCTGTAGTTTTAGCGCCGTGAAGCTATAGTTAGCGAGCTCGCCCCCGAACCGAAGAGGGAAGCTTACCATAAATAAAAATAACTACCTTGCCGGCTCGCGTGTAGCAAACGGGCTTGTTTCACCACAATTGCGCTTCGTTTTCTATGGTTTTCGCCATTTGCACAGTCGGCTGTGGCTGACCCACGCGGACCTCGAGAGGCTACCGGCGACGTCTAGACAACCCGGTTCGGTGTTTCGCAACGTGTTCGAGCGTCGTTTCTCTAATTCTCAGCGAGAATCGGAAAAGCGTTTAGGAAAAGGTGTGTTGTGCGTTAGACTTGGAACAGTGTATGATCGAACTCGACGAGTTTGCAGGTGGAATTGTTTTGTTGGAAATTTAGACAATTGAGTGTAAGATTGATATTCTGTTGTTTTGTTGTTTTTGTTTGTTTTTGGGGGGTTAGGTTAAGCAGAAAGAGAGACCAGAGGTGTCGTGTTGAATTTCCTATTGGAAGGTGATTTCTCTACTTTGCCGGTTTAGTTTTCACGGGTTTTATTAGCCCTCGGTTGCCACGCTCGCTTCGCCGGGTCAATCTGACCCACTGTTCGATTTCCAAGCAGCTACTGTTGAAAGGATAGCGGCGATATCGGATCAAAGGAAATTTGAGAATACGGTTCCAATATCCTGGGATATGTTTTGACAAAAATGAAAGTCTAAGGAAGGAAGTGACGTTGTTTCCGAGAAAGAAAGGGAAATATTTGAAACTGTAAGTTTCGAGGAAAATCATTTTTATGAGAAATTGTTGTAACTCTCTTGTGTTTCGACATTTCTCGCTACAATTTTCAGATTTAATGTTTTTTAAATGTGTAACTTTGAGGGGGAAAATAGTTTCTTAGTGCGCGTTCCTAAAAAGATGTTTATTTGACATGTTGAGGAAGAGCAGTTTTTGAATAAGAAGAGTGCAATTTTATGGAAAAATCAGTTCATTACACACACAGGTGCAAACAATTTTTAGATTAAAATTTTTTAAACTGTAATAGTGATTTCTGTCAGTAAAATTTGCACAAAAGTAAAATGCACATTTGTGACACTTGGGTCATAATGACCCATCACTAACTTCACAGAGTTACCAGACGCACACTGACAGGATTCTTAGCAGTGTAATCATCAGATGTTATAAAAAAAAATAATTCAATAATTCAAATTAACAGTAGATTGTGCAATAGTGTCATTGCAAGCGTCACATCTTGAAGATGTTTCTTCCCAAAACAAAACTATGGGTCACTATGACCCATAAAGGCAACTTTCAATAAAATAATACAAAAAAAATATTAATTCAAATTAACAATAGATTGTGCAATAGTGTCATTGCAAGCGTCACATCTTGAAGATGTTTCTTCCCAAAACAAAACTATGGGTCACTGTGACCCATAAAGGCAACCGAGAGTTAAGAAAGGGAATCGGTACAATCTTGTAGAATACAATGATTCGACGAGACTTGGCTTATTATTATTTTCTGCACTGCATAATATTTTACTTTTCCCAATCTTTTCAATGTCTCATTAAATTATGTTCTTTTCTTTTGTTTAATTCCTTGGCCAGTTATTCATTTCACGCATAAGTCTGCATTAGAAGTTTTATTTTCCAGTGATCCGTAATTCTTGTTGAGTTTTCAAAATTCACCAGCTTCTTATCTCCAGATGTACGTACGTTTCGTAAATTCTGTTTCTCACATTTTACGATATTTTCACGAGTGTCACGTGTAAAAAAAAAAAGAAAGAAAAAACAAAAAATATAAACAAACATAAAATTGTATCTAGTGTAACACGAAGAATAAATAGATCTGTTCAAGTGCTATTGGTTTGCAGAATTATGGAAGAAAGGAAGAGATCAAGCGTTCGCATAATGCGCGGAAAAGTAGCAAAGAACTGCAAATGGTAAGCCAAGAAATGGAATATCGATTGAACGTCGGTAGTTTTTAGCTATAACTGTAACTATGTATTACGTCCAAGCAAATGATACCATTTTAGACTTTTCCGTTTTACGTGTGCATACATCACGAAAGTAAATTCCACTGCGAACTGCTCGCTGTTCGTCGTTTCATGTCCCGCATTTTATTTATCGCGTTTCATCACAATGCGAAGTATTAGCTTGTGCCAAAAGTCCCTTTCGTTTAATCAGGAAATATTGGGTTGGCAATTAAGTGAGTGCGGATTTTATCATTAGGTGGTACGACAAAATCCGCAATCACTTAGTTGCCAACGTAGATGCACTTTTATATTGCATTTCTCTTTTATATTATTTTATCGAATTATGTACCGTCCATTTTGTTCTTTCACTACAAAATAATATAACATACAATATAATATAATTGCTGTTATTTCTATATTCAAAGGTAGGATCACAATAGCTATTATTATATTCTATGGATAAATCTATCACACCGTTTTGAGCCAGAAAAACCTTTATTTGCACATTCTTACATGGACTAGAGATAAAAACAAAAGAACATCTTAAACCTATCGATTAAATCTATCGATTGTCTCTAGAACTATCTTCTAGTTATTTTTTGTAACTAACGCATCTGCATATAGATGGCGAGCACGAACTCATGTTGTCATTTTCAACAATAATATAATCAGAATTGCAGATAATTCTAAAATAATATAATAATACTAATAATAATATACAAAAATTTGTTCTATTACTGCAAAATGGATCACACAAAATTCAATAAAATAATACGAAAGAAAAAATATTGCGCATCTAATTATTTTCTTACAAAATGTCAGAAACTTTTGGGATAATCTATTAGGTTGGCAACTAACTAACTAACTAACTAAGGTTAAGTTGGCTGTCATTAGGTGGTGCGACAAAACTCGCAATCACTTAGTTGCCAACCCAATAAAAATCGCGTACAGTTTTCGCGATGCTAAAAGTATCACAATTATCTGATGTTAGTACGTGCGAATTATTTCTTTGCAAAATTGAATGTGAAACAGATAGACGTTATTTATTAGAACATTACGTTAATTGTTTCCAGTGAAGGGGAAATACTTTTTCCGGAAAGAGGAAAACATTCCACGCTATTGATTTCCTCCCTCGTGAATATATTCTATATATCGAGAAATTTATTTTTCAGTGTGCAAGTCGTTCTATTTTCGTAGCAGTTTCCTCGTTCACTTGTTCAATTCGTGTTTTCTCCTGAGCCACGATCTTCCAAATGCCAACTCGTACCTTCAATTTTCGGCTTGTTTTTTCAACGAAAGTTACTCTACACCGTATTATCCCGCCTCTTTTACGTGTCGCCAGATTTATTTGTCCAACTGGAATCGCTCTCCTGTGCCATTTTCTTTCACATTTTGTACAGCGTGGCTGCTATAACCATGCAATAAATCGCGCAGACGAAAGAAACTATGAGAAAGTCGGAGACAAATATCGTATATCATCAGATAATCGCGTCACAAACAACGTAATTTACTTTATAGTAACTGCAATGTGGATATTTAAAATACTGTACATGTACACGTTACGTGAAATAAGTAAGATACAATACATATACAATGCAAAATACAAATACATATTTTTATTGATGTAATTTTGTTAGTCTTTTATTAGTTTTAATTGTCTCATGTGATTTACGTAATTTACACGTGAAAATTGCATATATTGTTAATTGTGCATCGTTACGAGATTTTCTTTAATGTTTTATACATCGTACTATTAGGTTGGCAACTAAATGGTTGCGGATTTTGTCATTAGCACGTAACGACAAAATCCGCAATCACTTAGTTGCCAACTCAATATAATAAATCGCGAAGACGGAAGGATTCATCAGAAGGGCAGAAATCATTGGAAACAACATAATTGATTCTGTGATAACTGAACTGTGGAAGTTTATACGATGATACATATTTTTACGAATACAATTTCTTTTTTCCTTTTATTAATGTCTCGTGAGATTTACGTAGTGCACATATGCAAATAGCAGATACATTACGAATTGTACATTACCATGAGAGAATTGTGCGAGAATGTCAATATTCCGGCCGCTGGATTACACGACATATTAAAGAAAAATATTTATTTAAAGAAATAGGAGTTGCATAATGCAGTCTACGTGTATAGTCTTGATAATTATGGTTGGTCCGGGGTGAATACGGTTCAAGAAATAAAAGCAACATTGCATTAATTATCTTCAAATATTGCAATTATATTGCAAAATTTTTATGCACATAAATAATTTGTTAAATTTGTACAAATACTTATTTTCATAAATTTGTATTATCTATATATTTACTATACTAAATAAAATCGAAAGTGATCCACATCATCCACTAAATATTGCAATTAGACTGCAAAATAATTATGCAAATAAATAGTTTCTTAAATTTGTATAATAATTGCATAACATATCTACCTACTACAATAAACAAAATCTCAAATGATCCACTTCATGTATTAAATATTATAATTAAACTGTAAAATAATTATGCAAATAAATAGTCTCCTAAATTTGTATAATAATTGCATAACATATCTACCTACTATAATAAACAGAATCGAAAATGATCGACATCATCCACTAAATATTACAATTAGACTGAAAAATAATTATGCAAATAAATAGTTTCTTAAATTTGTATAATAATTGCATTACAAATCTACCTACTACAATAAACAAAATCGAAAATTATCCACTTCATGTATTAAATATTATAATTAAACTGTAAAATAATTATGCAAATAAATAGTCTCCTAAATTTGTATAATAATTGCATAACATATCTACCTACTATTGTAAACAAAATCGAAAATGATCTACATCATCCATTAAATATTGCAATTAGACTGAAAAATAATTATGCAAATAAATAGTTTCTTAAATTTGTATAATAATTGCATAACATATCTACCTACTGCAATAAACAAAATCTCAAATGATCCACTTCATGTATTAAATATCCTAATTACGCTACATCGTAATTACAAAATAATGATGCAAATATTAGATAATCTCTTAAACTTGCTTAACAACTGTACTATCCATCTACCTACTACAATACATTACTGCGCATTACCATCTCATTACCAAACTGTTACTTTGCTTTCGCGGCGAACAATCTCGTCGTCAATGGCCAAAACCTCGCAATTTCTCATCCATCCTAGTCAACGTCGAAACATTGCTCTCGTTATCGCGAACGCTTTTGCTTGAACCTAACCTAATTCTCGCCAGCCAAAGCAATTAAAACGTCAGACACTCTAGCGATCTCGTGTCAAAGGCCACCGCTTCCAACTAACGCGTCTTCGATGACAAAGATACTGCAAGGACGCGTTCTACGTTGGTCGTGTCGTACATATCCATATTTCATATCATTGTACATGGCAACGTACACGCGGTGACGTCTTCAAACCGGCGTGATTATTATCTCTTTGTCTACGTAGCCGTCTGATCGATAGCATTGTGCAGCAGCGTTTTTGCTTCGAGCATCAATTCGGCCTGGTTCCACGAGTCGAGTGGACTCGTTCGTTTTCGTAAAGCGAAGGCTCAGCACCAGCCTCCGCGAGATCCTCCGCTCGTTTTCGATACAAATTCCAAGTTTCACCGATGGAAATTACGTGGAAAGAAGATACGCGAGGAATGCGGATGAGAGTCTCGATTCTTCTATTATTTGTATTATATCGTTGAATTTTTCTCGTCCGAAGAGATTTTCTCATTGTTTCCAGGGAAAATTCCTTTTTAGGTTATCGATCGAGTTTTTTCGTTTTTATTTCTCCCGAGCTTTGGTTTGCTGGATGATAACGTGCATCGTGAAGCTTCTTGGGCTATTTGAGTGGAGAAGTTTTTAACTGGCAAGGGGAAGGTTTGGCAACTGGAGAATTGAGAAAAGTTTGAAACTTGGCAAATGTAGCTCATGAGATGCTAAGAAGGAAACAATTTTCTCTGAACAGTGGAACGGTCCTAGGGGTGAAAACTCCACACCGAAGAAATCTTGACTTTTCATGTTATCATAAATATTTTAGAAAGTATATAGGATAGGAGGGAAAAGTTGAATTAAAAGTTATAATCCCTTTTACGTAAATTTCTATTTCTATTAAATAAATTTTTATTAATAAATTCCTATTTTTATATTTCTATTAATAAATTATTCTATTAATAAATTTCTATTTCCACGTAATTTTCTGAAGCTGTTTTTCCTCTCACACGCATACACAGCTCTTTATAGATACATAAACGTTACGTATAATATTATATAATGAATAATAATATATATAATAGTGCTACGTATAATAAATGTAACAAGATTTTTAATCACGCGAATATTTCTGCCTCAATCATTTTTTCGCATGAAACAAAGGAAAGAGGAAATACTTTGTTTCATATTATATGTACAATTTGTTTATAATAATTATTTACATGTTTTTATTTGATCGGTTTATTTCATCTCGGCCTGAAAATACTAAAAAACATGTTAAAGTTTACGAATATATTTTAGTTTTTATTAAAATTGCAACTTAAACAGAGAATTGTAACTGCTTTCTGCGCATGACGAGTATATTCGTCATAGCAGAAAATGTTCTTTCTTTCATTTCTTCATTTCGCAAAGTTTCCAGACGCTTGGTTTCCGAGGCAAAATAAATTTTATTCTACGTTTTTTCTTACTTTCACACAAAAAACGTTATACTTATCTTACAAGAACATTTACATTACACATACACGTCTATCGTTCTCGTTTACATCCAAAAATGGTCAGCTAATAACGAACACCCTGTATATGAAAATCGAAAGAAGAACACGTAGCAGCTAGTCAGGTGTGCCACTAAAACCTCGCACTTGAACCACTTGCAACTGTGTTGCAACTATCACAAAGCAGCAAGAAGTTGAGCGAAAGTTTGAAACTTTCTGACGAAGATCCTCTTATCCTACATTTTCTGTACAAATCTCACGACTTCCATCAATCATTCTAAATATGCTACGCGACCTCGATTACCAATAGCAATAAAACTGTCCACTTGTAACACTTCGAAACGAGCCCCTGTCGACCACCATAAATCTCGTCGAACAGCGTCAAATGTCTACTGATAGGCTGCGATATTCCAATAAAATATCGCCGATTTGGCTCGTTGAATAACTTTTATTAGCCGATAAATTTCACCGATTTATTACGAGCACATTGTCGTGTTTAGCTTACCGTATCGAAGGTTCGTGATTGACAATTGTCTGCAGATTGGGTTATTCCGGTTTATTTTCTATTTATCTTGCAACGATAATGGTGTTTAATGGTGTTTCATGGTCAATTATGGTTTGAAGCGCACAATATAAATTAACATCTTACCGACCGATAGCCGATTAATTGGTTTTTTATCGCCAACGCTTACCGACTGATAACCTATTAATCGACTTGTCGCCGATAATTTTTCTCATTATTTGGGCAGTAATGTGTTATTTAGTACTAAGGTACCTTGCTCAGTTGCGTCGGTTGCGTTGCTTTGTAAGCTCCCATAGTTTTATACCAATTTAAAAAACTTACCGTTCGCGATAAACGAAAAGAATGGTATTGGAGAGTCTAAACCGAAACAGAGGCGGCGCCAGGGAGAATCTGCGCCTGAGATGCCGGTCGGACGTGCGTATGCTGTTGAATCGCTAGCGGTCAGTAAAGTGTTGAATAGTTTCGGACTCGGTGTTTATGACACCAGCGATTTGCTATTAAGGGCGCCGTAAAATATTTCAGCGAAATCACGCAACCAAGGAAAGTTGTTTATTGGAAGCTAACGGCTTTCTCAAAGATAGCTTTGAAAATAGCTTCGCTGATAAACCGTGCTTGCTAGTCGTTTGCATGACAATTTCCTGGTTGCCAATCGGACGTGCGTATGCTGTTGAACTGCTAGCGGTCAGTAAAGTGTTAAGATGTAACCGACGCTCAATTTACGCGAGTCTGTTTCTTACGTGGTAAATTGCATTTTACTTTTTATTTTTCTTTTATTTAAAAGTGGGAACGCCCAACGAAGTTTAAAATTTCGACAAAATTCAATGAAATGTCGTAGCGACGGTATCAACAAATTTAGGAAAACTTGGTGAAAGAAAAGATTGAGAAAGAATCGTGTGAGAAAATGACGAAAATGGTTGAGGACGAAAATGACGCCGAACTTGCAAATATTCAAGCGATGAAGATGATACGTTCGTAGAAATTTTAAAAAGCAAAGATTGAGTGTTTTGAATTAGGATAGCGACACTGATATGGAATAAAGTTTATTTTTGTCTTTGAAACGTCATTCAAACAAACTTCATTTTTACGGTTTACATAAATTAGGTGAAATTAAATTAGTTTGTTTTTGAAACATCATTATTCTTTTCTATCAAAAACTGCTTGAAATTCTTTTAAAGTTTACACGTACTAACCTCTGTTTTTACACTAATTTATCTTCTCTTTTTATACTGACGAACTTCATTTTCACGGTTCACATAAATCAGGTGTGTAATTAAGCGATGGAAGCTAATGTAATGTGTCGCAATTACGTTGTTAATTACGTCGTAATCGTCGATGATTGACGAACACTGTCCAGCGACAAGAAACAAGTTTTTCAAGAGCGAAAGAAAACTTGTGCATCGATCTAGGCCAAATTCATGAAAGAGGAAAGTATATCTGTAGATGTGAAGCACGTTAGTGCCACCTTTCGTCTCAGTTGTAAAGAAAACTTATTCGTTCCATTCGTTTTGGGCAGATGGCATAAGCAAAAACCAAGAAATGTTTATTAACTCTTTGATTTGATTTCTACAAAGTTGACGTTACGATACACATCTTCTAGCGTTATTAATAACCGGACCACGAATTTTTAGTTTTCGTACTTTTCATATTACATAGGTTTCGCGTATTTTACATAAACCACGTTAATAAACATGTTACATATTTATTTCTAATTTCATGATTCCTGATACTTTCGTATAATAATCATCGTACAATCAGTTTATCAGTTCGTACGAAGTACAAGCGGGACAATTTGAATTTTTTTAATACCTTTAAGGGACGTACACAACAGTGGTCAATCGCGTAAAAGTGGATTTCGTACCGATTTATGTCACGCGATCAACAAATAGGAGAAAAATTTCGTCGTATTCGATGAAGAAATGTTAGTTATCACTCGACATTGAAAATTTCAAGACTTTTGCAGGCACATCTATAGAATTTTGTTTAATTTAAAGAAATTGAAATATGTACACTTCAGTTAGGTTTCATGACGCCGAACGATCTCCTTCGATGTGTAAATTAATGCTTCCACGTGAGCGAGATCGTTTTGCGATTTAAACAACCTTGGAAAACCTGTTGTTACTTATCGTAATGCAAATTCTCATAATTAGATTGCGGATTTTTATTTTTAATTTCATTAACACAACTGCAGAGGCGGAACCTACGCGAACATTCATCTCACCCGTTAGACGTCGTAACAACTGCTTCACTTTGAACGAGTTTCTTATATCTTCGCATGTTACGTGCACTTTGTGCGTTCTTGCAGTTTTTTGAACCTTCTCCAAATGTATCAAAATCCGCAGTATAACGATAACTATAAGATTGGCAGCTAAATGATTGCGGATTTTGTCATTACCACTTAATGGACCTACCCTAAACCTAACCTAACCTAAAAACATTACCAATAAATGTAGGTACACGTATGAAGGTGATTCATATTTCGTAAATATCAATGTAATACATATGTATGTGTATGTATGTGTAGGTATTTTACATTTTGCAATTTATCTTATTCTATTTGTTCTACATTTTGCAATTTATCTTATTCTATTTATATTTCTTTTTCATATTTGTGTTGTATATTTATCCTATTTATATACACACTGTATGTATTCCACACTATTTGCCATTCGCCTTACGTAATGTCACATATTTTCTAATTATAATTTATAATATATATAATAAGTTGAATATTCGGACACGTTTCAGCTGAGTAAAAATCTACGGTTTAATAGTCATATTCTGTCTTCAAATTTCTTCTTCCGCTTCTATTTAAGTTGTTCTGTGCATATGTGTACCCTGCGTTATTTGACACGTACCTTATACAATGTGACACGTTTCCTTCGTATAGGTAGAACATTTCGACACGAAAAAAAAAATAAAAATAAAATCTGGCTGCATAAAAATCAGCAGCGTATTAATAACAATTTACAAAGGGCTATCGCGCTATTCAAAACATTTTCTTCACAATTTTTCACAATTTCTGTATTAAAGTAAAGGGAAATTGTTCATTTTCCACACCTGCGGCGTTTCTGACAATTAAATTAAATTAAAATTCTGATAATCACGTCAGCTGTGACGCTGCCTATCTAAAACAGAAAAAAGAAGAAAGAAAAACACTGAATCGATAATTTGATAATTGCAATGTTCGTTATTTATTGTACTCGGCTGTTCGTGAAGTTGGCGCTCTTTTTACGTGCGCGTAACACGTGTCACGAACACACAGTTTCCGCGGCAAATTTGCTCGCGTGTACCTTAACAAAATTTTGCGTACGCGCCTTACGCTTAGCTCAACAAAACTTTCGCTAGAAACTTTCGTGCTTTTCATGTGCCTGGCAGAAGTTAGCGTACTGAAATCCCAATGTAAATTTCCATGCAAATACTTACGTAGCGAACGAGTGAAATTGCACTATTGGACTGGCAACTAAGTGATTGCGGATTTTGTCATTACCACCAATGTCCA